AACGCCCCTGCCACGCCCCTGCCACGCCCCCGCACCGTCCCCGCCCTGCCCCGCTCCCTACCGATGACGATTCTGTACCCGCTCCTCCCATCCATCATATCCATTGCCTTTTCCTCCCAGCTTTCTCCCTGCCATTCCTTCCATTACTGAATCTGTTTCCCACATTTTCCGTAGCCTATCCAAGAAGGCCCTCCCCTTTTTTCACAGACTCGCAGACTTCGCCATCTCCTTCGCATCCGTAACTCCCGTGTATCTACCCCATCCGTTCACCGATCACCGTAACCCCTTCCATCTGTCGCCTCCTTACCTTCGAAGCTCCCACCTCCGCAGAACTTTTCTTTCGCCCCCCTTGTGTAGTAAGACAATAGCCGTAAATTGCGCGGACCACCGCGACAGCCGAGGGTGGGGCGACGTCACGGGGAATGCGACGGGGGTGGTAAGCGCACCGGAAGTGACGATGGCTCCGCGAGGGGGAAGGCGTTCGCAACCGCACAAGTGATGGTCGAAGCGGGTGCGAAGATAGCGGGGAGAAGCGTAGAGAAGATTCTCGAAGTTGTGTCATTTGTTGGGTTTGGAAAGGCTCGTAACGTGAATGCAGGATAAATTTAATTGTGAGGAGTTTTGTAAAAGTGGGTGAAAAAAATGTATATGAGTTAGTTACTACGGCCACATAGGTATTTGGCCAACCAAAAAAGTAAATTTTGAGTATAAATTAATTAAAACGGATTGTATATTAAAACCGTCCCTTCGTACAAGTATTATATTTATTTATCTATTACTTGATATTAAAAATCCCTGTTTAAATTTTAATCTTTCCGGCACGAGTGGCATTGGCACTGGAATATTTGTACTAGGATCGTGGGGCTGAAGGGATTGATACAGGTAATGTGAACCTGTTCTCGTCCAGAAAGCTCAAAACCACACGAGCAACCTGAATTCCCAATGGGCGAATCCAGATGGGCAAAACTGTCAGGTACCCGAAGCGTGTGTGGGTCCCTTTAGATACAGTGATGTCAGGGTCGGCGCCACCAGCAGGAGCCCCTACCACGTTTTTTAAAACTTTTATTGCAGAGTAAGGTGATTATACAACGTTCAGCCGTACGGTTTTTCAATTGTTAGGAGCGAGCATTTTGAGACGAAAAAATGCGAAGGGTTGGCTAGGGCGACCTCCTTTTAAATATAGAAAGAAGCAGTGAGAGTAGTGGGGAATACATATTGTTGACTGTTGATGGGAGGAGTACTTATTTCATTATCTAATATCAGCCCGATTACGGAGGACGATGTGAAAGGGTAGTCGGTTACGTAGGCGAGGTTCTACCGGATGATCTTTACCTAGATTGAAATGAGATGTGCCGGTAATTGATCATCGGAAGACCGGTAGACATCGGAAGAACGTATGAGAAAGTTTGGTGATACATGACAGGACGGGTTCTATGGCTAGGTCATCGTGGAGTGACACAGGTAGCACGACGAAATCAGCCCTCCACACATTGATCTCCTCGCCACCAGAGAGCAGTAGGAAGTCAGTCGTCCACAATTATTTTACGCTTTACCCCTGAAATATATTGGTGAGATTTAAGTAAATGAATTTAAGAACGTTTATGGTTAGTTTTATTTATATTTTTACTTTTACGTCATCACTATCCAAAAACTTGGAGGTTTTTTGGTTAGTTTCCTTTCCCGACACTAGTTGCGCTGAGGAGCTCGTGGCATGCTAAGAAGCGCGGCACTGCACCAGTAGGAGGCCTTGGCATCACTGCCCTTTCCTGCCCACACAGGCGCCTTCCCACGCCGCCACGGCTGCGCGCGTACGTCAATCAGCAGGGCTCTTCGCCGACCATCCGGCGACGTCGAACAAAGGGACCGCAGCAGGTAGAACGCAGCGACAGGCGGCCGCAGTGAGAGGCTTCCATTTAAAGCTGTATTCTGCTAGCGGTGGCGCGACCTCCCTCCTCCGCTTCGCGAACCGCGAGTCTGGACGGAAGCGTGCTGCCGTCGCGACGTGGGAAGGCGCGTTAGAAGGTCCGATCGTCCAGGGCCCTTCGTCGCCGACCTACAGGCCCCTTCCCACGGCGCGGCCGCAGCGCGCTTCGCAGCAGCGCAGCGTGTAGCAGAGCATTGGTTTGAATGGTGGCCTTCCCACGTGCAGCGGGTGGCGGCTGCTGCGGCAGCCGACGCCGAACTCCAGCTACGCGAAGCGGAGGAGGAGGCACGCGCCACCTCTAGCAGAACACAGCTTTAAATGGGAGCCTTCCCACTGCGCCGCGGTCGCAGAGTTCTACCTGCTCCGGTCCCTTTGTTGCGACCTCCGGTCGCCGGAGGGTCGGCGAAACCTACCCCTGCAGACCCCACCCCCTTCCACGGCGGGCGGCGTGGCTGCGGCTCTGCTGCTTGAAGGGAGCGCGCCGCGGTCGCGCTGTGGGAAGGCGGCCTTAGAAGGTCCGATCCGACGTTCGTCCAGGGCTCTTCGCCGCCGACCTACGGCCGCCCCGGGCGCCCTGGACCCCGACCTGCGCGGGGGCGCCCTAATCCCTCAAAGCGCCCTTCGCCGCGGGGAGAGCGCCCGGCCCGGCCCGGCCCCGCCCCGCTCCGCTCCGCCCGTGTTTATAAAAGATTTAATAGCATTTGTATATTTTTAAAAGAAACACGGGGATGAAAATACCACGCGGGAGGAACTCGGGAGGTGGCGGCGCGCAAATTCACTTAACGGAGGAGGGAGGATGAATGAGGCGGAGGAGGAATTGGGGAAGGGCGTTGGTGAGAGGCAGCTGGGGGTGGACGGAGAGGGGTACGGAGGGATGGAGAGGAGGTGGAGGTGAGTGAAGTTGAGCGGAAGTATGTAAAGGCGGTGAAAGAGTCTGAAAGTGACTGCAAGTGTGCAGAAGTGAGTGGAAGTGCGTGGAGGTAGAGTTTTGAAGGGAAGTGGCGGTGGGTGAAGACGCATTAAATTTAAGTGAAATTATTATTATTATTATTATTATTATTATTATTATTATTATTATTATTATTATTATTTTGTGTCTTTTTATGGATGGGTTGTTTGGGTTTTGTTGGGTAAGTGAAGACACATGGGGGAAACAATTAAACAAAATAATTGCACTTAAATTTCCACGCGTCTTTACCCACCCAACCGTACCGCACCAATACATCACCTCCACACGTCCTCTCATCTCCGGTCACCTGCACCTTCTATCCATCACCCTCTCCCCCACCTCGGTCCATGAGCGGAGACGAGACGACATGAATGGAGGTGGAGGAAGAGCCTGAAAGGGATTGAAAGTGTTGTGAAGAGAGTGTAAGTGGGTGCAGATGATGAAATGGTGCGCTACGGTTGGGTGAGTGAACACGCATGGGAGGGTATACGACCGGATGATTCGGTGTCGGGGGATGGTAGATGCAGAGCTTGAAGAGAAGCAACGCCCCCTCCGTCGTTGCCATCCGCTCGCCGGGTTTATTAAAGAGGCCACCGCCGCCACCCTTGTTATGCGCGCTGTAATGAGGTCGGCACGGAGGCAGGTGGGGTCAAAACAATGCGACCGAGGCCCCTGCCGCCGGAGGGAATTGAGGGGAGGGGGGAAGGGAAGGAAGAGGGGAAGTGCCAAGACCGGATGAACACGTGAGTGACGGCAAATGTCTGTGACTCGGTTTACCCTGTGGAGAACTGAGGATGCAGACGGAGCTGGAGTGAATGAAAGTAACTGTGAGATTGAGCTGATTGAGATGAAGATACAAGGAGAACCTGTGAGTATTCAAAGGTATGATATTCTGAGTCTGGAAGAAACGGAGAAGGCAGAAGGCGTGAAGGCGAAGGAAATACGTAAGGGGTCGATGAGAAAAGAGGGCTGAATCTGGAGAGCACATATGGGTGCAGTGATAAAGGTTTCGGGATTTGTGGAGAATTGAGAAGAATTGTTTAGTAGTAATGTAAGGTACCTGCAAGTTCCAGTTCCGCGATTCACCCTACCATTGCTTGCCACGTGCTTATCATGGCAACAAGTGTCGTTAAAAAAATCAGTGGCTTCTCAAGTTCCATGTAGCAATGAAACTTCCTGTATCGTCTTCATTGCACCATATCATCGCAAAAGCGAAGCGTATTCATTATTTTAATTCTCTAAAACAGATCCGCACAAACATTTAACGGTATAATTTTAAAAAAGCTAAATAAAAAGAACAAATGTACTTCAATGTAATTTTCTAACTCTCGCTTAACTGTTTCTCACGAGTTTCTAGAGTCACAATCAGTACTGCTCTCTAGTGGCGAGGTGGTGAACTTCGTGGAGCACAGATTTCATCGAGCAATTCCAAGAGGAGTTGTGGCTTACATGCGCCCACTTCTTGACATCACTGCCATCAACGGAACAGTACCGAAACCTCCTCCTGGGCGTCTCAGAGGCAGCAAAGCGCTACGGTCACAATGCATGTCAATGGTTAGAACTCAAACGACTGGGAGCGAAACTGATTTACTTCACCTAAAAAAACACCCGAAATATCTTCTGAATATTTTCATAATTCCACAGCTTATTATAGGTTTTGAAACATTTAAGGAACGTACTTTCTAAACCAGACGCAGGATGTATTGCCGCTGGCTCTGATTCTCGAACTCATTTCGATCCGCGAGAGGTGGCTCAGGGCATCACTTTAATGCCTCTGACTGGAAAGTTATAGGTTCGAGTACTGGCTGGCAGAATTTTCGACACTAGCTACATAACTAAGTCAAATTCCTTTCCTGCCTGGAGTAGAGTTCTAGCGCATGGCTACTCTAATGTGTACTTTTCCGAAGTTTCTCCGGCCAATAACAGGTAAATGCCGGAGCAGTACACTAACAAACAGGCCACCGACTGTGCGCTATCTTTCCTTCTTCTTCCTTGTCATATCCTCACCCGTTACTTACGCATATTTACACTTACGCACTACACTACCACACATGCCGGGTCATCGGTCTAGAGCTTCGAACTGGTTCTGAGTAGAGCGGTGCCCCGCCGGTGGGAGATACCTGAGTGAGGAAAACCTTGCTACCCGACGGTAGGTGGCGCTGGATCTCACCGTCCAATATGCAAAGATCACCACCACCTCCTGAAGAAAAAAGTTCTGCTTTTATGGGACTAATGACCTTAGCAGTTGAAACGAAATGAACGCAGAAATCACTAAGCAATTAATCAATCAATCTATCTATCTAAACCGCGCTTGATCTTATCTTACGCGTCTCACTTTCCAGACACTTCCGCTCTCTCGTGGCGAGACTGGCAATGGAGCGGAGATTTCATGGAGCAATACCAAGAGACATGGCGACTACTACCGGCAACTATTTTGACATCCGCGTCGGCTGCAAAGGCAGGTCTCCGGATGCGCGTCTGCGAAGCAGCAACGCGGACTCGCGTTCGGGGAACGTTGGTCTGGCTCGGCGCCCGATTTTGGATATGGAATGCACGGATGAAACGGCCGCCCGCCCGCCCGCCCGCCCGCCACGCGCACGTAAAAACGCGGTTTAGCGTTTTCCCGCCGCTGCAGATTGCCCGGAGATCTTCTCGGGGGCCGCAAAGCAATTTCGCCCTCGCTTCGGCCGGATTCCGGGGCCCCTGCCGGCGAGGAAGGAATACGCAAATGAAGATAGTTCTAATGAGTGATCTCCGGCAGCGCAGCCAGGCCTGGGCCATCCAACGGATGCGATTGCTGCCATGGAATGAGGTGCAATAACGTGCCTCATAACTCGCGGATGAAATGTATGTTGTCAGCAAAGAAAATTGAAATAATGTCGGTGCCGTAAAGTTTAGGTTGCCATTTGTTTGTTTTTTTGGTATTGACCATAATTCTGTTTATATGGAAACCCTCGCGTGCTATCTGCCATACAAAAAGATGCCTGAGTTACCTTATCAGTGGGGGGCGGGAGAGATTAGCATTTTTTGCCCTGAATCACGCGTTTTTTTATCACTCAAAGGTGTTTAATCCTGTAGGTATGGATGTATTGATATGTGAGAGTGCTGATGATGATTAATGAGGCGAATGACAGATGACGGCACATACATATAGACAGTAGAAAACATAATACACCCATTCCCGAGGACGGGGCCTTCAAAACCCGCGGATTTTTTCTGGTCGAGATAGCTACGGCATCTATTGCACCTTAACGCATCTCGGCCATCCTTTGAACGGCTAGAATAGAGTTACATAGTTTAGACCGGCGTTGACCAGTTAATAGGTTGTACATAGAAAGAAAAATTATTTTTCCCGATGTGCACAGTCTTTAACCGCATTGGGACAAAGCGTACCCACTCAGTTCAGGAGTGTGTGTTAAACATCTTTCCATCGACCCTTCTCATGTAAAGACATTATCTTGACAATCTTGAATCTTTTCATTATTGTATCATCCAAAAAGAATACGGATGCACTGTTTGATTGTCAGAAATTAAAAGCAGTTCGACAGAAAGAAAAAGAAAAAGAAAACTTGTGTTGTCATGCGTAAAGCTGTTTAAGTTGTAATTGTCATGCGTAGTTAGATAAATTTTTTTTACACGGATATGCGCCATTATACTACATAGTTATAGTCACATCTCTATATTGAGTAAAAAAAACATTTTCCCACCAAAAAAAAAAAAGAAGTTTTAGTCTTCTAAATGGATCAAAAATATAAATTTTCCAACGCAAAGAAGGTCAGAATTCATCTTGTTACTGCTTACAAAAATTACATACTTACTGAAACCCACCTTTTTTGACTATTGTCGGATTGTAAAAATTATTTTTTTGCGCCGTTCTTTTTTATTTGCGTATAAAAAAGAAAAAGTATTTTCAATTTGAGTTTTATTCTCGTCGTTTGCTTTAATATTTTTTAGATTCAAGAACATTTGTAATTTTTAAAAAAAATTTATTCCATTTTTTGAACCCCCGGGAAAACCCCCAAATTCCCCTTCCCTCCTGTGGTGGTGGTGTGTG